CCCCAAAACCCCAAAACCCCAAAACCCCAAAACCCCAAAACCCCTTTATTAGATTTTTATTTTAGCAGCATATAAATTTTATTTCTTTACATTAAAATGTCATTAGCAAAGGATAAGATCATTGAGGATCTTCATAGAGAGAATCAAGCTTTAAAAACTGGACCTACTGCTGCAGCAACTGTCACTCATGACTTGAGGACCTCTGAACATCTCCTTAAGCATACTATGGATGAAAGAGTAATTAATTGAATTAAATTTTAGGCTAAATTAGAAGCTGACCTTAGAGCTCAGGAAGACATTGACTCTCAGACTATCAATAGGCTTGATGGCGAGAGATGTCATCTGAAAGTCACAGAGAGAAATAAGGCAGATGAAATTGCTTCTCTTAGGTCTGAATTAGAGTACCTTAGAATTTCTTGTGATAAGAAAGCAGCTGATTCTGCCCATTTAAGAAGAATCGGAGATGATCTCAGGGCCAGCATCAGAGTTATTTCAGATGATTTTGCAGCTGAAAGAAACATAAATGATGGTCTCAGGATCAACCTAGATCGAACTAATATTGCTACTGATTCTTCATCAGTTTCACTTCAAGAGAAAAGAGGAAGAATTGATGCTCTTCATAGCCAAATTTCTCAGAGTAAAAATATGCAAGACGATCTTCATAGATCCTTGAATGATAAAGATGAAGATAGAAAAGCCAAACTAGCAGTAATCGACGGAAAGACTCTGCAACTTAATGATCTCGAAGAAGAAATCAAAAGAAGAGAGGCAGAAATAGGTGATTTGAGATATAGAATTGGCATCCAGAGTGACACAGCCTACTCTGTTAGTAAGGATGCTACAGGATATGCTGTTAGAAACTCTGACCTCGATGCCAGGATCACATCTCTCAAAGTTAGCGTCGATAGTAGAAACAATGAAATCAGACTGCTCAACGGTAGAATCGCCGACCTCAACGACTTATATGCCAGAAGGACAGCACAGAATGTTGGCCTCGAGCACGACATCGGACATCTGAGTCACAAAGTTGGCGCTCTGTCAATCCACAACAGAGGAATCGGCTCTGAAGTGCAGCGTGAAGCCGACAGAGCAGCCTTTATTTACAGAGATTACGGAAGGGCAGACTACTTGACTCACAAGCAAAGAAGATACGAAGGCGACGCCAGAAGCTCAGCTATTCATGTTGACCGTGTGGTGTCGAACTCTCCGGCAAGAAGCCCCAGAAGATACTACTAAGCTTGATATGCTATATTTGATGCTCAATATTTGGTGCGCTAAGCTTACTTTCATCAAGTGTCGCTAAGCCGATTCCATTTCATATTCAATGGCTAACGACTATAAAGTCAATAATCCTGGCTTTGTAGGGGTTTTGGGGTTTTGGGGTTTTGGGGTTTTGGGG